TTTACCAATATCATAGAGTAATCAAACTTTACCAATATCTTAGAGTAATCAAACCTCACCAATATCATAGAGTAATCAAACATCACCAGTATCTTAGAGTAATCAAACATCACCAATATCTTAGAGTAATTAAACATCACCAATATCTTAGAGTAATCCAGCTTTACCAATATCATAGAGTAATCAAACATCACCAATATCATAGAGTAATCAAACATCACCAATATCATAGAGTAATCAAACTTCACCAATATCTTAGAGTAATCAAACTTCACATGATCCAAAATCTCAGGCATCTACTTTAAATGATTGGCTTGAGTAACTTGAAAGTGAAATCTTCATGTATTATGCTCTGTTGGGTATAATATAATGCCTTTAACTATATCAGTACTTCAGCTGATAAAAGATGCGCAGCAACAGCATGGACTTCGACACGGAGACTACCAGAGGTATCGGTAAGTTGAATTCTTATGTCTTTAAATTTTATTTAGACTGAAACATTTGGGCTTCTTAATGACAGAAGATTCTAGAAACCTTCATAAACAGTTGAATTCTTATGTATTAAGTGTCTTTAAATTTTATTTAGACTGAAACATTTGGGCCTCTTAATGACAGAAGATTCTAGAAAACTTCATAAACAGTTGAATTCTTATGTATTAAGTGTCTACATTTTATTTAGACTGAAACATTTGGGCTTCTTAATGACAGAAGATTCTAGAAAACTTCATAAACAGTTGAATTCTTATGTATTAAGTGTCTACATTTTATTTAGACTGAAACATTTGGGCTTCTTAATGACAGAAGATTCTAGAAAACTTCATAAACAGTTGAATTCTTATGTATTAAGTGTCTTTAAATTTTATTTAGACTGAAACATTTGGGCTTCTTAATGACAGAAGATTCTAGAAAACTTCATAAACAGTTGAATTCTTATGTATTCAGTGTCTTTAAATTTTATTTAGACTGAAACATTTGGGCCTCTTAATGACAGAAGATTCTAGAAAACTTCATAAACATTTTGTATGTAGTATCTAAAACAAGATGGTTATTTAAAAACGTGTCGAGAAACAGACAAGATAAGTTTTCTTTAATTAAAAATCTAATTAATTCATTACTGGAAGAATTAACTAATATCCAACTTTTATTTCGATGTTTAACATATTCTAGAGTCTGGTAGATTTAGTTAACCAGATTTACATTTAAGTGCTATATTTATTTTCTCTGTTTGTTTTATCAATGTATCTCATACATTTTTTTGATATAATCTACAAGGTACAGACAAATTC